TTTGTTTGCACAACTGGCCAGACCGTGGGGTCACGAGGATAATTTGCAGTTGCCTTAGTCACATCGACAGCAGTCACCTAATGCTCCCCCTTACAATTTCACCAGATACTGACATGCGACAGGGTGCGAATGTCGCTGGGTGGTGTTTCCGCCTTCGCAATCATCGGACAAGCCCTGATGCATGCAACCACCACCATGCACGGCTGTGGTTCACCATGTCTCTCGGGCCTCATGCAACCTGGTGGCCCAAATTCATAAAATCCATAATAATAGTCATCATATCATCGTAATAATTACAGTAGTAGTAGTGATAGCTTAGTCTTGGCTGCAGCTTTTCCGTTCGTCCAAGCTAGTCTGTGTTACTGAAAGAGGGCATAGTCCCGTCCACTCGGGGTCACCCAAGGGGTATCCACCCGCCAAGATGATACACGATTGCATTCCCAGTGGACTTTGCCGACGGCGCCAACTTTGTGCCAGTGCCACCCCTGAAATGCAGACCCTGATACACATATCGTGCCCCACTTGTAGTGGTCCGTGTGTGCTGCAAGCGGCACCGATGGACACGATATGGGTTGTGCGGCATCGTCACCACCATCCCTTCCCTCCGCTGGGTCGTGGCCAACTCGGATGGCATGCTGAGCTTGGAGCAGCATACCACGCCGCTTAACACAACCATCCCACTCAACCATACAGACTGCTCCGGGCCCCCTGTGGAGGCTCTTTGTGGAGGCAGGGCTGTCTCCGCGCTTTGGAACACACTCACTGCACTCTGAAGGTGTGACCGCTGCCGTTAACAACCGTGCGGATTGCAGCTTGGTGCAGCAGCTGGGTGCTGGAAGAGTGCGGAGGTTTCGAGAGCATAATGGTGAAGACAGCACCGCGGCTGGGGCATGGGTGATGACCCTCTTGACCTATACCAACCAGTGATCGTGCACTTGTGGGTCCTTTCAAGAACTGTCATTACTATCGGCCACTAAGGCAACTTTCCCAATGGGTTGGTTTTGGAAGGGGGTTTCGCAACGGGTTGCTTTGCTACGGAATTGTGCTTCCGTTTGTCGCCTTAGCTACTGTAACGCACCACGGCAGGACTGAGCAATAAGCTTCGACTTCTCGAAGCGAAGTATGAGTGTAGAGATAGGCAAGTTATTGCGAAGGAACTGCCGTGGTGCGTGGAAGTAGGGCGCATGCATGCATGCATGTGCCGGACCGCAGTACGGCAAGGGACGCCGAGCTCCTACTTGGGTCCCACAGGCGCATTGGTTCTTTAACTGCCGTTGTTTTGACTATTACCAAGAGGTGTGTCCCGCTGCTGGGACAGTGTCCTCTAGTTTCCCCCCACCCCCCCACCCACCCACCCACGGGTCGGTATCGTACTAATTGTCCTTTATTATGGGTTTAAGTTTGGAGTACCCGTATCGGTGCGTTCTCTCATCAATTTTCTGTGCCTCGTCGTTCCCCCCACCCACCCAGGGCAACCCCGGGGGTTGCCACAATGCAGCGGTCCCTGGTTTGTCCTTGCTGGTTTCGGGTGGGTCGCCCGCGTGGCTCTTGTCGGGGCGCTTGAGGTTGCAGATTCGTTAACGGTGCAACACAGGTAACTGTCATTACTATCGGCCACTAATGCAACTTTCACAATGGGTTGGTGTTGGGAGGGGGTTTCGCAACGGGTTGCTTTGCTACGGAGTTGTGCTTGCGGTTGGCGGCTTAGCTACTGTAACGCACCACGGCAGGACTGAGCAATAAGCGCTATGCATAGCTAGCGCTTGGCCAGGTCGGCACATAATGGAGCGAACCCGACATGAAGTTGTCAGTGTTCACAATGATTTGCTATAATTTTAAGGATACCATCCAATTCTATTTATCTTTTCCGTTGCGACAGCTGTCTTGTTAAAGCTGAGTACAGGAGGACTGCTGAAAAAGGCTTTCAAGTACACTTTCGCGCATGTTTAGAGGTAACTCGGCTTAGCACAGCTAGCAGGCCACCTCGTGAAACACGTACGCGCCAGACGCCAAAACTGCATATAGCTGCCACGACCAATGGCAAACTTTCTCGCACGCACTCCCGAGAATTCCATCGCGTATACCTCTCATCCACGTCAACAAGACAAGCAACCCACTTCTTCCGCGACTGCCAACACGCTCGATGCACCAACGTTGCCTTCTTGAGTAGTGGATGGATGGATACCGCAACCATCCGAGCAGCGCTCAAGTCGCCGTACCGACCAGCTCAGCACGTCTGATCCATACAACCTGACGCCGTCTCGGTTGCAAGCCAAGCCCTCAACAGCCAGCTGGTCGCGTTGCTAGACGAGGCGGCTAATACCCGACAGCCAGCTGGTCGCGTGCCAGGTCTAATTGGTCCCTAGGTACCAGAAGAAGCAGCTCGCCCAACTTGCCCTGTGCCGCCTTCAGCGCTGACAAGCTGAATTGGGCGTACTGAGCATTCTGCGCACCGCTGATTGCCTTCTGAGGAATCGCATCAAAGTACTGCTGGTAGTCCAGGCTGCGGGGGGCAAAAACAGGGAACACGACATTTCACCTCGGAGCCACGGCTATAGCACTGTAATACAAGTTACAAGTTACAAGTTCCGCACACAAGTGCGGTTGTGTCCGTAAAAGCCGGGGGGGCCATGGACGTTGTATTGGTATTGATTGGTATTGTATACTGTAATATATGCGATAATTGGATAGCAAAGCCTGACAAGAAAGGCCTCACATAATCCGTATCATATACGCAAACACCACATGTCAACACAGAAATGTCTCAGATGCTTTCCTCCATCACTGTCTTCCGCCTGGCCCTATTCAACGGCCCGGCTCCATCGCACGGCTCAGACGTTCAACAGACACACATACGCACCCACCCACCCACACGCACGCACGCAGATGGACCGCCTTACCTGCTCGCGCTACCCCTCGTGGTACCCCAATAACAATAACAGAGAAGGCCCGGTGGCGCTCTACGTCTCGGATGGCTTTGCAAAGGCTCGGAGTCAGGTTCATACAACAAGATGATGCACGGCAACGTCCGGCCAGCGCTGATTCCGGCCAGCACACAAAGGCCGACGCAAGCACAGTCCCAACGGCTCAACCAATCACAGTGGTATCAGGCTTCACGGCTTCAGATTCCGGAAGGGCTTCCAGCATTCAACCCACCTGCGCAGGTACTCGTACAAGTCCGCGGACAGCTCCTGAACACGGGTTGCGGTCTTTGCCTCGGGTATGAGCGCAATGATGTTGTCAAGGTTTTGTCGGACGTTGTTGGGGGGCCCCTCAATGCGAGATAACGCCTGGCGGAGCTGGTCCCAGTCCGCATCCTCGATAATGGCACGGCAGTCGACCAGGAGCTCCTTAAGTGGGAAAATGATCACGGTAAGACCCCCCGGGGACAAAAACGACCATGGGGGCGGAAAGAAGGCCATGGGTGGCGGGACGGAAGTTACTCAAAAGCGTAATGCAGATAATGCAGATAATGCAGATAACATCAATTGCTGCTGTCCAGTCAGCCGGAAAACAGGAGGACGGGAGTACGATGTAGGGGCCGCGAGGCAAGGCGTGGATAACATGGGCACATCTGTATGATGCCCGAACGCCGTCACCGGGGCGTCTAGCCATTCGCGTTAAGGCGGGTTGACCCTGATCCCGACCCGATCGGGGTCCACTGTTACAATCGCAAAATGGCGCTGGAACATGCAGATGGTAGCTGGGGCGCAGAACTCCTGCTGGAAAGGCACCTGTTTCGTTTGTTCCCCTTTTCCTCAACAAGCGAGATGTGGAACCCTGAGACAACGACGAAAACATTGCTGATAGCTTTCACGTGCTATCACTCGCAGAACGGTTCCTCGCCTTACGGCACACACCCATGCAAGTGCCAGCACGTGTGGCGTCAGCATGTGTGACGTCAGATTGTGACAAGCTCCCACGCGACCTAATAAGTGTTTGGGTCCCCTTTCTCCCACTGCAGCAAGACACCAAGTAATGCAGCCATATCGGTCCAATCTGTCTTACCTGGATTCGCAGCAGAGGGACCAAGTAGAAGTACATGGGCTTGCTGGGCTTGGGCCTCAGTGCTTCGGTGGGGATGAGCGCGAACGCCCCGAGCCCCAACGTCAGCACGCCGCCGATAAGCAAGCGACGCTGCATGCACCAAAGGACGGAGGCGAAGGGAACGAAGTTAGCTACGGGGTCGATTACGGCGTTCAGGAAAGGAACTAACGTACCGGCGGCCCGATAGCTCGCGTGTGAGGGATACGGCACAGCAGGTGTTCTGATGATGTGTTCCCGTACCTGGACAGTTGCCTTATACTCTGGCGCTTCTGTGGAGGCATCCTCCTCACGGACGCCCGCAGGACCGCTGAAAAATTCCACGTCCTTCTCGGACAGCCACGTAGTGCGAGGGCCGCCTGCGCGTGTTCCAGCTCCAAGTAAGGGGGTTCAAGTCCTGGGCCGGCCTGCGTCAAGAGACCAGGCTCCGCTGTTCCCCGGGTCTTACCTCCAAAGAGGGTTTCCCGGTTGTCCACGGAGTCGATACGTACTGGTTTGCCTTCCTTTTCTACTGGGTCCTGACCACCCTGCTAGCACAGCCGGAGTAGCAGAGCCATATGTTGTTTTGTAGGGTTCTTAAACGACCCTTACGGTCCCGTCTGGTTTGAGATGCTGTTGTAGGTTGCGTGGTCATGGGCGCAGAACAACGTCCAGTGCTTTCCCTTGAGGCACACCTTTGCTGCTTGCGCTGCTGCGAGTTCCTTTCGAAGCCGAGCAGCTTCCTCCTCGGCTGCTTTAAGTCTTGCCAAGACATCTTCTCCAAAGGCCGAGTCGGGCCCTGCCCTACAGTGATGTGTCAACTTGCGGCATCGTACACCAGTCAAGCTATGGAATGGATGGTGGTTCCGAAGGGAGCACGGGCGGAGTGTGTGTTGCATGACCGGTTGACAGTTTGGAGTATGGAGTAACAAGAAGATGTAAAACGATGTAAGGTATATGCACTGTAGCGTCACACGAATCCAAAAACCAATATCGATTCTGAAGTACTGATGAAGACAAGGAAGGTTGGTGTACCTTGTTCGGTTTCAGTGATGTTGATGGGTGCAACCGTATTTCAAACAGTTTACAAATTATAGATCATAAATAAAAAGCTTGGCTCTTTATGCTCACGCTAGGGACGGCCATTGCTGCTTCTGCTCGGCACCTAGCACGGGTCTCAGGGCTCCATAGGGAGCTATTCCTTGCCGCACAGAGTTTTTCGTTCCCTGTGATCACTTACCAAATACACCTCGAGCACAAAAAGATGTCATCAAACACAAAAATCACACGCGAATGGTACCCGCCAGCCGCCGATGGGACGCAAACAGCACCGCTAATGCTTTACAACAGCTTCGTGGACGAAAAAGTCCCGTTTGTGCCGGTAGCTGGGCCGAACAGCAGACAGATAACTTGGTATGCGTGCGGACCGACTGTCTACGACGTAGCGCATATGGGACACGCGCGCAACTACTTAAGCTTCGACATCGTCCGTCGCGTCTTGGAGGATTACTTTGGCTACAACTGTTTGATGGTCATGAACGTCACCGACGTGGATGACAAAATTATTTTGCGCGCTCGCCGGAACTACCTGCTGGCGCAGTACAAACGCTCTGGCAAGACCCCCGACGAGGTATGTTCACTCCAGAAAACCCTTTTGCTACCTTCATCGTGAAAGACATAATCTGAAGGGGTTGCCTGCAAGTGTATTTGCCGCTAGCGGCCTGCAGGCAGTCCAAAGAATCCCCGCAGAAACTGGAGTTGGGGGGATACAACTTGATGGACAGCGTCTGCTGCTCTCCTCTTAGGCAGCCACCATGGCATAAGACGGAAGGACAGTGGTGGCGCCACAACATACCACAAGATATATTGCCGTGCTCTTGGGCACCAATTCCCGCCCAGTTGCTTTGATACCCAGCGGATTGCAATCCAGCTCAAAATGATCCCGGTCCATCGGAAGCTGGTCTAATCATGGCGCAGCAGCTAAGAAAAGTTGACCCAGTTTGACTCCCCCGAGTTTGACCGGTTTCCATCTGGCCTGACCTGACCTGACTGGACACCGCTACGCAGTCCACACCCAGGGCCTTCTAGCAGGTCCCACAAACACAGGCCATACATGGGGCTCGGGACAAGCTGCGTGCTAGTAGTACCAGCAGCCTTCCGCTGGGGCCCCTCCCCAGAAACTCCAGGCAGCCGCGCCCGTGCTGTGCGCTACCGCCCCTTCACCCGCCGTGGATGCGGGCAGTTGATTCTTTGCATTTCCCCATCGTATGCTGCAAGTTATCAAAGCTCCGCCCAGTTGTGTTGCGGCGTCCGGTAAAAGCCTGAGGATGGTGCTTCATGGACCGTGCCCATCCACCCCCAGGTGAAGGCCTACGCTGCGGGAGCTATTCAGGCCGTCATCGCAAAGCAGCAGAGCAAGGTGGATGAGCTGCAGGCGCAGGTCGTCAAAGCGCAGGGTGAGGTGCAGGTACGTGTCAACCCGTAGGGTGGCGGCGGGAGGAAAGGGGGGTACGGTTGGCGAGGCGGTTGGACAGCAGACGCGAAGGCGCAGGCACGTCCACGCGGTACAGCAGGGGGTGGAGGGGATCACCGGAGGAAGCGTTTATCCGCTAGAACATCCCAGAAGCGTACGTGGCATAGACGCATAGTCGAAGCAGTAGCAGCAGAAGCAATGGCAGCAGAAGCAATGGCAGCTAAAGCAATGGCAGCAGAAACAGTAGCAAAAGCAATGGCAGCAGAAGCAATGGCAGCTAAAGCAATGGCAGCAGAAACAGTAGCAGAAGCAATGGCAGCAGAAGCAGAAGCAACGACAGCCCCATGGAACTAACTGACAATGGTTCTTCTGAGATGCGATTTATGGATATGGACATGCACACGTAACCATTCACGGCTGTGCTGGCGGCTATGGTTTCCCTGCTGTTGCCGCTGCCATGCTCGCAGGCGGCGGACGACGACAAGAAACAGGCGTTTGCTCAGCGCAAGGTGGCTGAGCTAGAAGCGGCCGTGAAGGGGGAGGCGCTCAAGCGCAAGCAAGCCGCGGACGCTCTGGCGGCCTTGGAGGCATTTCAAGCGGCGGGTGAGGCGGGAGGAGGCCTAGGGAGGGCCGCGACTAGGAACTGGAGTGATGGGTGTGAGCGGTGGTTTGCCAGCCTGGTGTGGGACATGTGAAGAGAGTGTGGGAGAGAGAGCTTCATCATCATCTGGACCCCGACGGGTTCACGTACTCCGTAGGTCTCGATGAGGGGACGTGTGAAGAAGAAGTGCCTGGAGTGGAAGGAGTGGGTCTTTGGGGCTGCGAGTCGGGAGTACATCGCAGGGCTGGGCGCCTAACCTGGGTTGGATCACCGACCTGGTTGAATAGCGGGGCATGGGCCTGGTTGAGTACTGGAGCATGGGGGGTGGCTAAAGCACACGGAAGAAAGGCATGTAGATGGGAAGAGGGCGGGGGCGGATGCCAGGATGGAATCGTCCGGCCGACGGAAGGGGGGTTTGGGTGAAAAAATGACCAGCAGATCGTCGCCAGCTTCTTCATTGGAGCTGGAAAAGGCCGTGGCGCCTGCTCCCCGGGCCCTACAGCTGCTAGAGACGGGTCTAGAGAGCTTTTGAAGCTGTCACAGACGCAGGACCCGGTCTGCACGGCTTTGCTTGTGTGTGCGTGGGGGGCGGGGGCCCCCGGGAGAGGGGTAGCGTACCTTCACGGCGCGGGCGTTATTACCCCGCTATTACCGCTGGACAACTACTGCCACAGTACTTTACAATGCACTCCCTCTGCTACTGCATCTATTGCGGCTGCACCCTTTGCGGGGTAACTTTCTTCGCCCTTCGCGCCCTCTCGTGCTCCTCCTCCTGCTCCGCCTTGCTCCGCATATGGGCCCATCAGGTGCTTCCGCACCGGTGGATGCTCTGATTGACCTAGGGGGTGACTACGTGGCTGAGGCACTGGACAGGGAGCTGGGGGCGGCGGTTACGGATCCGTCGGTGTTTCGCGCACACGCCGCGAAGTACGAGGTGCGTGTGTGTGTGGGGGGTTGCGTGTGGGGGAGGGAAGCTGGTGTGTAGGGGGCGCCTTGGTGGTGGGTGTCGGGGGGGTGCTGGTGGTGGTCACCATCATCATTATCATTACTACCATCATCAACATCAACAGCAGCGTTAGCGTTATGCTAATCTTGTGCTTCCCTCGATCCGTCCCTTGTCACGTCGTTTCCCTCTTCCCAGTCTTTCTTGATATGGCATGTAATATGATTTCCCCCTCCTGTCATGTCATGTGATGTCATGTAATATCATGTAATATCATGTCATATCATGACATATCATGACTTATCATGTCATATCATGTCATATCATGTCGTGTCCAGCGTGAGTTCCTGGAGGACATGGACGCGCTGGGCTGCCGCCGACCCGACGTCCTGACCCGTGTGTCCGAGTACATGCCGGAGATCGTCAACTACGTGCAACGAATTCTGGACAACGGAATGGCGTACGTATCCAACGGCTCCGTCTACTTTGACACGCAAAACTTCAGGTGTGTTTTACACGGAGGGAATCGTACGGGAGGGCTATTAGGGGATTTAAAAAAAGGACGTGTACGGCGACGGCGGGGGGGGCCCCCGGCCGGGATGCGCTTGGCTATAAGGGATGGGGAACAGAGGGGTTCCCAGGAGTCGGGTTACGGAGGGTGGTGGGGTCCGGGGTTGTGGCCGGAAGGATGCAATCTCGCTAGAGGGCGATTTGAAGGTTGAGTGTATGTCTGGATGTGATGTATGTACACATGTTTGTGTGTATGTACGTATGTATGTATGTCCCTGCGGGGCGCAGGGCCTGCGGGCACACGTACGGCAAGTTGAACCCGTGGGCTGTCGGCAGCGCTGCGCTGGCGGCGGAGGGCGAGAGCAACTTTGAGACGTCGGAGAAGCGGAGTCTGCAGGTCTGTGAAACAAATTAATATATCCACACATACATACATTTAGGAGGGCTGATGGGATTAACAACATGCGCATGTATGTATAGTATTCATGTACACAACCTAATATGTATGTATGCCCGTATGTATATATGTATGTATATGTATGTATGTAGTTACAGGGTGGTTAAGCTTCACCAGCGGCCCCCTTTCCCTTGGAGGCAGTTCCCTGCTCTCCCCTGCGAGAGGGGCACCCTAATCCATTCACCCACTCCGACTTCAGAATGTATTCGTTGGGTTCAGCAACTCACCACCAGCATCCAACCAAATCTAGCGGATCAACGGCGCCTCAATTAAGTTCCTGGTCAGCTAGCAAGTTGATATTATCACGTCCTACACCGTCCATAAGATGGGGAGCCACCTCCCATTTCAACACTTCTCAAATACCCGAGGAGTTGGCAGGCGGACTTGAACCCGGACACACCGGGAGCAGAAGTCAGGCCTTAACCTCTGCCAGCCGCCTGCCTATGTATGTATGTATGCACGCATGCATGTACTCATTCCCGTAAGCCCTCCAACCTCCTTGCCCGGGACTCTCTTCTTTTTGCACCGTATAATCCCCCACTCCCCTTCCCCCTCCCACCCCGCTCTCCTCCCAACCCCCCATCCCCCGGGTTAGGACTTTGCTCTGTGGAAGGCCTCCAAGCCCGGGGAGCCCGTGTGGGACTCCCCCTGGAGTCAGGGCCGCCCCGGCTGGCACATCGAATGCAGCGCCATGGCCTCCACCATCATTGGCTCCCGACTGGATCTGCACTCGGGGGGGGAGGACCTCAGGTTCCCTCACCACGACAACGAGCTGGCGCAGGCGGAGGCGTACTACCACACGGAGTGGGTGAAGGGGGAGGAGGAGGGGGGTGGGAGGGAGGGCGGGAGGAGGGAGAGGGGAAAGAAGGGGCTCGGGAGGAGTGGTGTTGGAGGGGAAGGAAGAGGGGTGGGAAGGAGGAGGAGGAGGAGGCCGAGGGCGTGGTGGGGAAGGGGTTAGCGACGTGACACGTCATGAGGGTATTAAATCGGGGTGTTTTTAAGTCTGGCGCAACCCCCCGTCCTGGGTTGGGCGCCTTTCGGGCCCCCTTCCTCCCCTGCATGATGTGTCCGCCCACCGCCCTCCTTCGTCGACCTTGTTTCGCGTTTCGTGCTGTGCGCGACGTGACATTTCCTGCTTCGCACGTACCTGGTTCCGCCGCGCGCCCCTCCGTACACCCCCTCCCGGGGGCGCCCCCCCTTTCTGTAGCGGCTGCAAGCAGTGGGTGAATTACTTTTTGCACTGCGGTCATTTGCACATTGAGGGCCTGAAGATGTCCAAGTCCCTCAAGAATTTCATCACCATCAGGTGGGCAGTGGGCAGGGGGCAGTGGGCAGGGGGCAGTGGGCAGGGGGCAGTGGGCAGGGGGCAGTGGGCAGGGGGCAGGGGGCAGGGGGCAGTGGGCAGGGGGCAGGGGGCAGGGGGCAGGGGGCAGGGGGCAGGGGGCAGGGGGCAGGGGGCAGGGGGCAGGGGGCAGGGGGCAGGGGGCAGGGGGCAGGGAGCAGGGGGCAGGGGGCAGGGGGCAGGGGGCAGGGGGCAGGGGGCAGGGGGCAGGGGGCAGGCAGGGGGGAAGGATTGTGAGCGTGTGTGTCCTTGGGGGGGCGGGAGATAGCGGGGGTTTGTGGGTGGGTGTGGTGGTGGGTGGTGTGTGGTGTGTGTGTGGGGGGGTTAAGTGTAGAGGGTAGGTCGAGGGTAGGGCCCCGTAGCAGTCGCTGCGGGAGAATCCAAATATATAATGTGATGTAACATATATATGTATATATGTATATATAACGAGTAAAAAAGGGTGAACAACGCACAACGCAGCCGCCCCGCACTGCCTGAGACGTGGCTGCCGGGGCAAGATGCGAGAAGGTACACCAGAGTGCGACATCACGTGAGCTATGTCGAGAGCGGCCGGGGGAGCGGCCTCTTTGGTTTCCTCTCTCTCGTGCTCTCGCTCTCTACTTGGGCGCGAGCTAGCTAGCTAGCTAGCTAGCAAGCTAGCAGCTCCACGCCCGGCGAAGGCCTCTCTCGTCTCCCTGGAAAGGGGGAAGGAGGGGGCCCTTGAAGCCGGTGCTGCCGCCCAGCCGCACATCCACCCAATTGGGGTATTTTGAATGCAGTAGTGTGTGTGTGTGTGGGGGGGTGCTCCCCAAATCCCCTCTCCTTGCTCTCATATTGAGGACGTTGGCCCTTTTGCTTTTTGCATCACGTGATTGATTCCCATCCCATCCCATCCCATCCCGCGGTGCTTGGAGGTGGGTTTGCTTCATGTGGCACCACACCAGGCTCAAATCGTAGCAAATCGGGCCTTTCGTCTCGTCAGAGAAAATGAAACTGTGTCAATTATGGTTTCGGGGCTGGAGATTGTCCAATATTGTTATTGTATACTGTTCCACTTGTGGAACGGCAGCCCGGGTTACGAGGGTGGTTTCGGAGCCGCTGACGGATGGCTCGCATGTGCCATCCGGTGGTGTGGTTTCGGGGCGGTTGCGCGCGCAGGGAGGCCCTGCAGACGTTCAACGCCCGGCAGCTGCGGCTCATGTTTGTCCTGCAGCCCTGGAACAAGACGATGATGTACGGCGAGCAGGCCCGGGCGGAAATGAAGGCCCGTGAGGCGCAGCTGAAGAACTTTTTCCAGAACGTGGAGGCGGCGGTGCGGGGGCAAGACATATGCACTACCGAGCAGCGCTGGCAGGTGTGTTTCTCTCTGTCTTCCTCTGTGCCCGTCTGTCTGTGGTACATCTGTCTGTCAGTCAGTCAGTCTGTCTGTCTGTCTGTGTGCCTCTGTCTGTCGCTTGTGTCCGTCCGTCTTTCTGTCTGTCTGTCTGTCCGTCTGTCTGTCTGTCTGTTGTCCTGTATGTGTTGGGGACCCCTCGGTTCCCCCCGCCATGTCACGCACCTAGGATCTTCAGGAGCTAGGGGTGGAAAAACCCCAGTGGGCCTTATGTTGAGCCTGAACAGGATCGGGTAGGATCAGGTGGGACTGCGTTGCCTAGTTAGGACTCCACCAATCTCCGTTGTACCGTACAGGTCCCGCGCGCCCCATTCACGCTGGCATATGCCTGTGTGGCATTTTCGCGTACAAGTAATAACGTCTCTGGGCACGTTTTCCGTCATCATAATTTCCCCTACGACCCGGTACACGTCCGGTACCTACCTCACGTTTTCGCACGTTTTCGCTTTTGCAGCCCGAGGACTTTGAGCTCAACAGCCGCATTCTGGGAGCCCAGACGGCAGTGGACCTGGCGCTGCGGGACAATATCAACACACCCGCCGCTATGGACGCCCTCTCGGAGCTCATTAAGGCGGTCAACAAGTACCTGGAAAAGAAGGTAAGGTGACTTGCAACGTGGTAGGTATGTCGTGGGTAGGTGTGTAGGCGTGTAGGTGGGTGGGTAGACCACAACCCGCCATCACCATCACCATCACCACCACCACCACCGTCACCATCACCATCACCGTCACCATCACCGTCACCGTCACCATCACCGTCACCATCACCATGATCAACACCATTACCACCACGACGAGGGTGGGTGGATGTCGTTTACGGTGCTTTGTGGCAGCGGAAGACGCGTGAGACGAGGGAGGGGCTCTGGCGGCGTTGAGTGCGGGAGCTGTTCAGCTGCCCGTTGCAATTGATCGATACACATGTCGGATTGCTTGTTTGCTTAAGAACAAACGGTCTTCATGTGTATGGTATCTTGCGTGCATCATTGAGAGCCGTTTCTCGATGGATGGATGGGTTTTGCTCCGTCCGGTCGCTCTCACTCTCTACAACCGAGGGTGCCATGCATTCGGCAATCCATCTCATCTTGTTGTTGTTGTTGTTGTTGTTGTTACAGGGTGTTGTTACAGGGTGTTGTTACAGGGTGTTGTTACAGGCGTCTGGGCCACTTAAACACACCTCATCTGTTGTAATGTAATGTAATGTGGTGGCGCCACAGCACCGCCCCAATGCTCCGCTTACCCTCTGAACACTGCCGACAGGAGGTGGGGGCTGCTCGGCCGCTGCTGCTGCGCAAGGCGGCGTCGTACGTGACACGCATCCTGTCCGTGTTCGGCCTCGTGGACGGTCCTGGCGACAGGTATGTCCGTGTGTTTATGGGGGGTTGTTTGTGTGTATGTTTATATGTGTGGGTGGGCCGGATGTTTGTACATATCTGTGTGAGCTGTAAAGACCACAACCCAGTCAGTCTGCCTGTCTGTCCGTCTGTCTATCTGTCAGGAGGATGAAAAAGATTGATCAGTTGGAAGAGGAAGGGGAAGGGAGTACTGTTGGGGAAGAGGGAAGAGGACCCACGTAGAGGGTGAAGGTTCGAATCCCGCTCCCGCCCCCACACAGACTCGGCTTCCGCGAGGCCGCCGCGAGCGGTGCCGCCAATGACGAGATGGCGCCGCGCTGCCTGGACGCCTTTGCAGCCTTCCGCGATGAGGTGCGCGCCATGGCCAAGGCCAAGGCCGACCCACGGGACATTGCGGCGGCCTGCGACCGGCTCCGAGACCAGGCACTCGCCGATTTGGGGGTACGAATGGAAGACGGCCCTAACGGTGCGTGATTTGATGATTGAGTGATGAATGGGATTGGGTTCGGCTGCTTGCTGCTAGTCGAGCGGCACCGAAACCATTTCCCCCCCCTCCTGATCAGTGACCTAGAGCTAGAGGCTTAATCTAAAGGTTTTAATCGGCTTGCTTGGGGAGGAGTTGCTTGGCGGCCTGGTTGATCGATGGCGTGGGCGTCGACACATCCTCGTGCTTGGGCTTTTCACACCACCTGTGTGCCTTTCACCTCCTACGTGGACCGACCTCGTCTAGCACCAGCCACACGTGCCGCCCGGCGCTGGCCTGTCCCACACCAGCCACACGCACGCGGCAGTCGTGCTTTGTAGCGCATCGGCTCGTTTGTCTCTTTGTCTCTTCTGTACCGCAAGGGGTTTTTCGGACTGCCCTTTCGGCTGATGCCCTTTGGCTCCCTCAGTGCTCGTATGTATGTATGTATGTATGTATGTATGTATGTATGTATGTATGGGGGCCCCGTGATTACACCTTTGTGGAGGGGGGTGACGTATCTCCAGAATGAGGGCGGGGTAAAACACATGCACACGTGTGATTGCCTCTCCTCCCCTCCCCTTACCTCCCCGCAGGCAAGTCAACCTGGCAGCTTGCGAGCCCTTCGGCCAAGGTCAGCGCGGGCACTAGCCGCTACTTGGACGCCTTGGTGGCGTTTCGCCAGGAGGTGTGCGCCATGGCAGCTGCGGCCGCGGAGCCGCGGGAGGTGCTGGCGGCTTGTGACCGGCTCCGAGACCAAACGCTAGTGGACCTGGGCGTACGGCTGGAGGACCGGCCGGAGGGTACGGCGGTCGGCTGGGAAGGGGGCGGGAGCGAGGGGATTGGAAAGGGGTTATATATGTAGGGGGGAAAGCCGCTCTGGCCTACCAGGGCGTGTATGTGTGTATGTTTGTATGTATATGGTGTGTGCGTGTTGTGTGTTTGCGTGTGCGTGGGGGGAAAGGTGGGGGGGAGCAAAAGAAGAAATTCCCGTGGCGCGGTCGGTGGGCTTGGAGGCCGTTATGGAGTTTCCCCCGGTTGGGGTCTCTCTTCCTACGATTTGCCATATGAATCGAAATCTGCTACTTGAGTGATGGGTTCTCGAGTTGTTCATGCCCGCCTGTTTGCTGTGCGTGTGGTGAAACCCTAAGTCGTGTCAGGTGTGATGTATGTCCCTTCAACCAACATATGCTTTTGCCGCCGTGGCTAGCCGTGGGTGATTGTTTTTCACATGGTACCTGCCCGCCTGCCTGCCTGCCTGCCTGCCTGCCTGCCTGCCTGCTATTACAGGCAAGGCTGTTTGGAAGTTGGACGACCCGGCGGCGATGCGAGAGGAGATTGCGGCGCGGGCCGCAGCGGCCGCCACCGCTGCGCGCAAGAAGTTGGAGGGAGCTGTGGAGCGGAAAGCGAAGGAGATTGAAAAGCTGGAAGGCCTTGCCGCGCTGCCTTCCGTGCAGGTAAAGAATGGCGTGAGAAGCTAACTTTCTGTTTGTGTGCGTGTGAGGCCCGCGAAGCACGAACGTGTGAAGGTGATGCCAAGGAAAGACCGATGCGCCAGAAGTAAAGAAGTGTGAGGGGGGGAAGAGAAGCTACGATAGCCTCCTCGCAAAGCCAGCTGCTCTTGTGCACGTTGTTGCCTTGTGTGCGTTGGCTCGCCAAGGATGAACATGAGATCCCAACCAATCCTTTTTCTTGCCCACCGTTTTTTTCCGCTCCTCTTCCTACCCACCTCTGCCTACCTCTGCCCACCCGGCTATCTGCCATCTGGTGGTACGGCACATCCTCTTACTACTTTGGTTTTTCTGTCCTTTCTCTTTGGCTGGTTTCGGAGCAGGAAGCTCTGGCGGACAAGTACAGCCAGTTTGACCCGACCAGCGGTGAGCCCACACATGACAAGGAGGGGAAGCTGCTGGAGGGCAAGGTGAGGGGGTGGGGTGGGGCTTATGGTGGTGGGGAGCGGCTATTTGGTTTTTCTTCCTTTGGGGCTGGGTTGCGGGTGTGGGTCTCTGTGTGCGGCTGGAGGGCGGGAGCTGTGCTTTCCGAGGATGGCACAGTCAAGACTGGATGAACGACAACGTGCGACTGGCGTAGGACACCCGAGTAGATAGATGGCTCTCACGTCGCGATTTGACTGGCGGTTGGCACGTCTTATTTACAAGGACCCCCCGCCTTGCTGCCGTTGCCTTTTGCCTCCGCCGCCGCCGCCTCTCCCTTTTTCCTCGTGTGCGCTGCAGGCCAAGGATAAGGCCCGTAAGGACTTTGAGAAGGCGGTCAAGGTCCGGGAGCCGCTCACCAAGAAGTTGGCGGAGGACCCCCAGGCGTTGGACTCCATGCGGGCCGAGCTGGAAGACTTGAGGAAGCAGCTGGAGGCGCTCAGCACTTGAGGCGAATGGAATGGCGTGGTGGTGTGGTTTAGGGTGGTGTGGCGCATTGGTGTGAGTGAGTGTGCTAAGGGGTGGTGTGAGTGGTGTATAGAGGTGTGAGTGTGAGTATAAAGGTAAAGGTGTGAGTGTGCTAAGTACTCTTTAATCGCATTGTGAAGCATTCTCTACACCAATGCACTGCGGCCTAAAGTCGGAAACGGCCCAGGGCACGGAGCTTTACCTTCCAAGCTGCTGTACGTACTACTACTGTTCCTCGACCAGGCCGAGAATTTACCATACAGGGAAAATATTAACACCCAGCAGTTGGGGTTGTCATCAAACTATGGTTGGGGTTCAAGAAGGGGGACAACCAAAGGTTCTCCAAAGTCTTTGCACAAATGTAATAAGAGTGAGCTGCCCGGGTAGGGTACTGCTTTTATTATTAAGGGGAATTGGTGGGTGGGAATGGTGCTGTGCTGGCTGGGCCCCGGGTTCTGAGCTCGGTTGTTGGGGGGGAAGGCAGTAGGCGTGCAGAGCGTGCGTGCCGCCTGGCTAGGCGTGGTAGGTTTTTTCGTTCTTGGACTGGTAGGAGACATCTCTCGTGCAAGCAGCAGTCCTGGTGGTGTTGAGCTTTTGGGGGCGGATGGATGTCCGCCTTTGTTGATGCTGCGGCGCGTGTGAGTTTATGGTGGTACGTCGCTGGCGCGCAGTGAGTGAGTGAGTGAGTGTACGGTCGCATGTGAGGAGTGGTGAGCCGTAAGCGACTGCGGCCGGGCGGGCGCTATTAGAGAGGGGGGTTGCTGCTTCTTATTTTTGGAAGAGGAACTTGGGGAAAGCGGTGAAGTGGGGCAGATCGGCAGTGTGCGTGTTCCGCGTAAGGGTCTGTGTGTCTGTCTGTCTGTGTGTCTGTCTGTCTATCTGTGGGCGCTGGGTCGATAAAGGAAAATGTACCTGAAGGGCTGGGTAGAGCTGGATAGGCAGCTGATACGCTTGTTGTCTTGTGTGTTCATCGTGGCTCTGCGGGATGCGCGTGGTATGCGTACAAATAGGAGCAGGAAAAGGCGGCACTCTGGCCGCCACTGCTCGACGGTAGCGGCTAGGCGGCAGGCAGCGGCTCGTAACACGCGGATTTGCGGATCTGGGAGGAAGGCGGTGGGTTTAAACTTGAGGTGGTGATATGCGGCGTCTTACTGGCCGGTACCCGATGGAGCGAAATAATCTGACGAAAAGATCAAAGCGCTGAGCAAGCAGGTGCTGTGAGAATAAGGCAATGCTGACTGATAGTGTGCTGTTTTTTCATTTAATCGACGGGGAAGGAGCTTCATTCGTCATGTCCCTCCCTTGCTTTCAGCGACTTTCTGTCCTCCTGGAGCGGTCGCCCTGGAGATAAAGAGGTCGAAAAACTCGCGCCTGCTTGTCTGTCCGTCTGTCTGTCTGTCTGTCCGTCTTGCCCTCGTTGTTGTTATGGATGGCGTTATCCTCGAATGTGATGGCGTTGTTATCCTCTTTAAGGGGGGAAGGGAAGTGGGCCTGCATTGCTCGTGGTCCCGCACTGCAGCGGTGAGGTGATGGTTTTTTTTGACTCTTAAGGTTTTTTTCCCTTTCCCTCCCCTCCCCCGTGTGGCGGTTTTATGAGAGCGGCAGCTTATTAAGAGTGTCAGGGTGGGGCCCCGCGTTTCCGGGGTCACGAGTTACGTCCGTCGAAGGAAAAATGTGAGGGAATGCGGTGCACATGGAACGTGTGGTTGTGACAGCGGGCTTCAGGCTCGTGAAGAGTAATAAGAGCCTGCAGGCCAGCGGGCCGTGCACTGAACGTGTGGATGTTCTGCTCTGCTAGGAATGGAGGATCCTTAGGATGGTGGAGGGGGTTGCCGTGGACATCTGATGCTTGAAGTTCGCGTCTGCTATAGGGCTCCTATCACGCATTCCGGGAGTAATCTCTGGGTAGGATGGGATGGGATGGGAGGCGTCGCTAGTGAAAAACTGAGGGACATATGATTCTCTGCGGACGGATTCTTCGCCGTCGTGGGGGATGGCAAGCGGACCCGCTGTTCCAGCGCTTGTCCACTTGGTTTTGCGTCTCTTGACTCACACATGCGTTATTTATTTGTTGGGGAGCATTGGATGGCGATGTGTCAAGGGGATGGGCGCACGGCCTGCAGAGTACAGCGCTGGCACCTGGAAGCAGTTCTCGTGGACTCTGCGTCCATCGGAGAAGCTGCTTTGATTTTATTTATTGATCTGTGCGCCGGAATGCAGAGTTTATATTCCTTTTATCGCGCCTCCTGCTGTCGACATATGCATGCCCGAGCAAGTAAACCGAGACTCTATTGTGCGATCGGACAAACACAAATTTCAGTAGCAGAAGAGAATACAATGGCGACGCATAAACAGTTGCAGTCGCCGGAGAGACAAGCATGCGCAAGTTCGAATGCGAATCCGACAGAGAGACGGCGGCCTACTCAGGGGCAACTCACGCAGGCGGCGGCATTCCCATCTCCTGTTCCCCTTGTTGACATTGGCGTTAACCTGGTAGACTCTTCCTTCCACTCGGTGGGTGTTGCTCGAGGGCCCATGGAAGACTGGACCAAACTACGGGAATCTAAGTCCGGGCCTTGTCCATTGCCTTCGTGGTGTTTGAAAACACACGTAATGAGGCAGGGCGGAGAAGAATGCCACGCGCGGCGGCGGGAAACGGTGCCGTGCATTCACGAGACCATTCTCACAAGGATATGTTATGATGACAGACTACCCCCAGTGCAAACTCCTGAACAGGTGTACGTGCGACACACGAGGTCCCCCTCACGTCGCTTTGCACTACCTGCGCTGTGCACTTCCCAGCAGCATGCCTGAATCTTGGAACGCATCATGACGACGGTGCCATGCTCCTCGTAGCTAACCTGAGGCCGAAAAGGACGCCAGCGGAAAAAAGCCTTCGCTGCGTGAACCCCCAACGGCAGAAGATCTCGACGCTTCTTTCCCCCTGTTCATTGATTCAACGTTTTTTTTAATAGAAACGTACTCCCGCGGTTGTTCACGTGTAGGATTTGGCGAGTGTGCTGCAGCGGGCAAACGACGCCAACGTGCGGTCGTTGGTGGTTACGGGCACGTGTGTACGGACGTCAACGGCTGCAGCACGGCTGTGTGACGAGCAGCACAGCACCTATCCGTTGTTGTACTTCACTGCCGGAGTCCATCCACACAATGCCAAGGTACTTCCGTACCTCCGTACGTTGTACTATATATTTTTTAATTGGAGTCAAAACGGAGGACGCGGCTTAAGATCCCCACGCTGGCGCGTGCTGCCAAATTGTGCTACGAAAAATTCCAGTTCTCATAGAGCCACCATACCGCCGCCGCCGCCGCCAGTATTTTACCACCGCAGTGGAGCACTGTGGGGCTGTGGGGCACCGCATGGTACCGTACCGTACCGTACCACAGGATGGCAACTGAGCAGCCTTTTTGTTTCTTACGTGGCTGTGCGGGTACAGCAGACAATAGAATGCTCTCATAAGGTTGTGTAAATTTGAAAACTTGATGTACTCCTGTGCACATCTAAAAGATTCTTTGTCAGGCGGAAGTTTGGAAAACGGCTTATCAAGGTGTTCTATGTTATGTGCGGCATTATGTGCTCTCGAGCCTACTGAAGGAATCGCGTTCCTAGGGGACCTAGGGAACGAAGCCGACAAAACGGGGGGTGAGGGCGGGTTGCTTTGGTGCGTTGTTGATGAAAACCGGACTGCTGATGCCGAACGTGTGTGTATATGACCCATGGGTCCATCCTGCCCACCCGCAACACTGTACGGCGTTCTGCTCCAGGGCTGTAACAACTCAACACTGGGGGAGCTCCGTCGGCTGGTAGCTCACCCTCGCTGCGTCGCGGTCGGGGAATGTGGACTCGACTTCAACCGCAACTTCAGCCCTCCAGAAATCCAGGTGGAGGCCGGGGTGCGGTACGGTACGGTATAGTACGGCATCGTACGGCACGATACAGTGGGGGTTAGCCTGGTTGTATGGGGGACTTCGACGCCGTTGTGCCATGTGCTGTAAAGCTCTTTCCTACGTGTCTGCCTGTGGTGAGTCTGTTCCTTGTGTGGGGTCCACCTCGTGTTGCCCCTGTCGCCTGAGAAGTGACCTTCCTCCAGTGTCGCTCCCGACTTTCAAATTTCTCTGCCTCTGCTGCTACTGCTGCTACTGCTGCTATTGTTGTTACTGATGCTATTGTTACTGCTGCTGTCCCTGATGCTATTGCTGTCGCTGATGCTGATGCTGTTATGATGCGACTGCTGTTACTGTTGCTGATGCTGATGCCCTGTCTTCGCGTTTCAGGAGAAATGGTTTGAGGCGCAAGTGCTCCTCGCTAAGGAGCTAGGCCGGCCGTTGTTCATGCACTGCAGGGACGCCGGGGAGCGCTTCGCGGAGATTCTAAGGTTTGTAAGATGCGTGGTATCTCATTACACGTATATAGGGCTAATTGTAATGTAATTTATTGCATAATCGAGTTTACTTTACAATAGCTCCAAGATTGGCTGTGATCAATTGAGCCACGGCTAACTGCGTTGGCAAACCGTGGTCCTTCCTTTGGCACAAAATCTAGGGATTTGAGCTTTCCTTTTCCTCCGAAGCGCACTCCGGGTTCCAAATCATAGACTTAATGATCTCGGCTGCACATTCCCCCTCACCGACCACCGACCGGACTGTCGGGGAGCCAAACCATACCTGTGGACACACATACACACACACACGCACACCCACACGCACACACGCACACGCACACGAAAACACGCACACGCACACGCACACACCTCCGGCTCCTTTTTCCTCGTTGTATGCTATCTTCGTAGCAAGGACACGTAAGCCTTGCATACATACCCGCCCTCTTTCGCTCCGAATCTTGCACCAAATCTTACCTGTCGCGGTTTGCCTGGCCTGACCTGGCGTGGCCTGGCGGTTTGCCTCGTCCCCCCTGGCCTTGCTAATGCACCCACCCACAGCCGTCACATGCCTCTGCCGCCTGCCGCTGTCGTTCATTGCTTCACCGGCAGCCGTCGAGAGCTGGAAACCTTCCTCGAGCTGGGCCTGTACATCGGCATCACGGGATGGTGAGGTCATCGCTGTGTCCCCTCAGAAGAAGAAGTTCTTTACTATCGCAACGAGGCTTTGCTTTGCTGCTGTCCGTTCTTTCAGTCGTCGCTCATCATTATCATCATCATCATCATCATCAGAAGCAGCAGCAGCAGCAGCAGCAGCATCGTCATCGTCATCGGTTTATTGTTATGGAATGTTTGTTTCGTATCTTAGCGGTTTGTTTCGTTGCGGGCAGGCCACCTCACTGAGGTGGATTCCATTTTTTATCTCGCTAGAAACCCGGGGGCGGAAGTCCTCTGCACCCGTGAAGGGGAAGGCTGCCCTTCCTCCAGTTCACCACCTCCCCCCCCCGATGTGATAGGGATGTCGGCGATCACCGGGGTTGCCTGGCTTGTGCTACAGCCCCCTATTTGCCCCGTTTCCTGCAATCCCACCGGATCCATGGCACCATGGGGCCAATGTGGTGCCGTACCTGACCCACCGTACAGTGAGTTACGCCAAGCACGGAGAGCGGAGCATGGGGCCTTATGCTTTCGATGCTTGTTGTGGCTCTGTTGTGGCTCTGCCACGACGGCCGGGCACCCTGCCAATTGGTTTCTTGTCGTTTTTTCGACGGTTTCCATTTTTTTTCCTTTTGCCGGTTTTGGCCCCAGGATATGCGACGATCGACCGGAGCGGGGGGGCATGGAGCTGGCGTCGTTGCTGTCTTCCATCCCGCGAGACCGGCTAATGATCGAGACCGATGCGCCGTATTTGGTCCCCAGGTCCATCAAGTAAGATATCTAAGATGTCCGTGTTGGCTACAGCCAGCAGTGTTTATTTTTGCGTGTTCTGAGGGGGTTTTCCTGACACACACAAGGAACTGAGCACAGCAGGAGGCCATAGCTTGGCCGCCGCCACCGCCTCGCGCCCGCCACGGCCTCTGAAGGGCTTTTGAGGGCTTGGGATGGGTTGTGAGCCAAGCTCTCGGGCGGTTCGCCTCAAAGGCTAAGCCGTGGTGGCGTTTCGCCGAGTCCTATGATATGTTTGGCCCTCTACTCGTAAAGCCCTAAAACCCTGTCCTTAGTGGATTGTTAATTGCCTAAAGAGGCTATACTGCCAGATGCTGTCCTTGGTCCTACGTCACTCCTGGATCCATGCCCTGGATTCATCCCTGGATCCATCCCTGGATTCATCCCTGGCCTTTCCTCTTGACGATTGTACAGGCCCAGTAAAGCCAGGCCAGGGCGCAACGAACCAGCGTTGTTGCCACATGTGCTTCAGGCAGCAGCCACCGCCATGGGAATCTCATCAGACGAGGTGAGGGGAGGAGTACGAGTCGTGGGTGGTTACAGTGCCGTTAGAGGCACTGTGCCTCCTATCTACGTGTGATGCGGTGTACCATGCACCGTATCGTGCCGTACCGTACCGTACGTTCCATGGCGCCATAAAAGGCTTAATCTTTCCGTTTTTTTCACAGTCGACAGATTGCTGCCGAAGAGAATTTGTCCAGCCAATCATGCATACATACAGGCAGACAAACAGACTGATAGATAGATAGATAGGTAGGGGCCGCGTTACCACCCGCGGTTCATCCATCTGGTGCAGAAAGTGTTTCGCTGGGTGGATTTACTCAAGATACAATGCATGTACCGTAGCTCAATAACATTGCCCGTAGAAAATACGCACCCGAACCCCACCGGGCTGTACAGCAATACAGTACAGTAACTCGTACACTGTCGTTTTACCTGTTTGCTGCACCGCGCCGCAGTTGGGACGATCAACAACGGCCGTGGCTTGTCGGGTGTTTGGTTTACCTGCGGACGAGTTGGGAGTCCAAACAGGGAGCTCCCTCCAGGGGGGCCGCCGGTAACGGCGCGAAGACGTTGTGATGACGGCGCTGTCAGTTGCTCACTCAGCCGCTCCCTGCCGTACATGCTGCAAGCTGGGCGGCTATATGCCAAGTCTACAGCCACAACACCGCCGGGCAAAAAACTGCGTCCGATGCCTCTCAATGGGTTTCGGAGCATTCAAGTCACCGCCAGACAAATCATCACCACCACACGCAGATTTGGTCAACGCCGCCACCTCTCACGCCCGCTGCCACTGGCCACCATCCGCCGATGCCACCTCACGTACGGTGTCGTACAGATTGGTCATCAGCAAAAGCTGCTCGACCGGCTTTGTATGCCCAGTGACATGCAAAGTTTGCTACATCTTTTGCGGATGCTTGGTTGCGCATGCATTAACTCACGTTCATTCTGCCGTCGCTGGACAGCTATTATGATGGAGCTGTCAGCTCTCTGCGAACAACTCAAAGAGCTGTTAATGCCGTTTTTTCACTGTTGCGGCAGCTCTGGCGTAGTCAACGTCGTCAATCTACAAATGAGCAACGGAAGGAGAGCGACGTGAGGGTTTAAACCCAGATGGGAGGGTGGAGGGTGTACTTGTGTGTGAGCGATTCTGCGTGCTTGAGTAGTAGTAGGAGTAGGAGTAGTAGCACTAGAGTAGTAGTAGCACTACTACCTTAAAGCCGGATGGATGCCCCGGCAGCCGAGCTGAATTTCCGACCGCCACACAGGCAAACATTCACATCGCAGGTGATGGAAATTCGGCTGTTCGTTACCGTTCCTGTTTACATTATCCTGCCATCGCTTCATTTTTTGTGTGCCGAATTAAAGAATGTGGCACAATATTTGACCGTAAAGCGGCTCCAATAAATGAGAAGCGAAGTTCGGTAACACACTCGCAGTCGGCGGACACCCCCTCAAAGCCCGACGCCACCCAACACGCCTACCAACATATCGCCAAAATTGGCAAAAATATCAGTAAACGCAGATGCCGCATGTGCAACTCCGTGGCGTTCGCGAGAGGTCCCGACGCCGCAAGCAAGCAACCGGTGTGGTCGCCCACCCGACACACGCAGGAAGGAGCCTCCTGCAACTGCAACCCGCACGCAACCGGTGTCTGACGGAATCGGACTTAGGCCCGACAATAAAAAGTAACTTATAATTACGTTGGAGCTTAAGGCCGTAGGCTGACATCCCCTTTAGTGATGACTTTGGTTCCCTCAAAACACCCCCAACACCACAGGCTGCAACGATCTACAGTTGTATTGTCGCTCGCCCGCAAAATACCACGTGCAATATAATGGAAAGGAAAGAACATCTTGACAGAAAAATTTAAAAATGGGAAATTTACGACCGCGCGAGCGGACGCTTTTCTGTTCTGGATCCTGGTCAAATACCAAAACAGGGCTACTGTAACGAGCATGAGACGCCGTTACATGGCTCTCATTCGCTTACGTGATTCGGTATTCGCCATAAAGCCTTCGCTTAATCTGTTACGCTTTGCTGTACTTCCGTCGGTGAGCGGCCGGGCTATCGGCCGCTCACCCCCCATCACTCGGGTCTTTCAATCCCTCCACATTTGTGGAGCATCAGTCTAAAACAGGCAGGAACGTCAAACAGCTACGCTATAACAACTTCTCCAACAAGGCCATGACGCCCCCGCCCGCACGCCTCTGTCCCCCACCGTCCCTATAGCTAAATAAAAGGCACCATCCTCTCCTCCCCCTTCACCCACACAAAGCGCGCCGAGCTCCGCAGTAGCCAGGTGGTGGTGGTGGTGGTGGTGGTGGTGGTGGTGGCGACAGGTGGCGAGCAAGAGCTGGAGCGCTGCAAGTTAGCTAGGAAGTTACAACGCCCCGATATACGCCGTGCCATCCACACAAGGCAAAACGAGTATAGCTGAGCGTCATCACATGTTCGACTAGCAGCACAGGGGCTCTAACGTACCGGCGGGGCTCCCGCCCCCATCATAGTCACGACGTGGTTACCGTGGTTACCTCGTTCGACATTCGACCCGTGACGGTGACCGAGCGATTCAGTCCCCCCAGGGCCCTCGCCCGGGGCGAGAGCCATGCATACGACCACGCTACCCATGCACACGACCACGCGGCCACCAGAGGGGGGACACGACCACACTACCACCAGATGGGGCCAACTCATCCCGGCGGCGACATCTCTGCGCAACATGGGCCCACTACTACTACTACTAGCAGCAAACCACGGCGTCTCAACATCACATCGCGCCGTACACATCCTCTACGACACGACACAGTTAACGATGCCTCCTGCTTAAGGTATATGCCGTACACCACACAAAACTCCCGTGAAAACGCACGCACACATATACGACACACCCTGCCCGAGAGAGCGCCCTCTGCTGGGGCCTCTCTTTCCTCCCCTCTTTGCTTGCCTTCTGCCACCACCATATATAGCGAGGCCGTATAAATATACCGTAAAATAGGTGTTACGTGGTTCTGGGGGGGGTTTCGGCAACGAAACGCATGAGCATGAACATGTCCGCCTGCCTCCCTCCATCCCCCGTATACAACAACGCATATATTAGAGCATGATAATACAAAACACAAATCCCTAAGTTATTAATAACGCCGTCATCGCATCCCGCGCCACCAATAAAAATCAATCCGGCAGTTGCGCTGGCAGGTGGTAGTGCCGGCTGGTAGCACCATCTGGGGCCATCCTTGTGCCTTTACCATGTGGGAGTCCTTTTAGTCAAATGCCATGCTATGTATGCAATCGACGCGTGGCGCTCCATGCACCTTTTGCTATAGTAGTACGATGTACGACGTAGGAAACAGTCACAACCGCGACCAGCGAAGCTAATAATAACCGCTCCTGCTGCTGAGCGGAGCAACTGCTGTGTTATATGTGTATGTGTTATGTCTGTATGTATATATGTATATATGTATGTGTGTGTGTGCAGATATCGAGATCTACCTCCCGTGGATTAGATTACTGGGGGTTTCGGAGCCGCTGTCGCTCCTTCCGCAGGTCCGCTGTTACGATGAGCCGGCTTCGGAGCAAGGAGGAACACGGGGTATGCCGTTGTAGAAATACTCTGCGCGTGTTGGCAAATACACAATGTCGTACAGTTCATTATGCTACCCGTTGAGGCGCTAGTTAGCAGCTCACTACACAACCCAAGGGGGGGGTCAGGGGAAAGAAACTGATTTAGGGTTTTAACTATTCGGCTGTGAGCTGCATCACATTAGAAACACTACAAAATAAATATAAATTTAAACAAGTTAAAATAAGTAAAATAATGCACATATGCATATACACATATATGATATATGCTATACCCAAGACCCATTTCAAACCTCATCCCATTTTCCTCGGACCCCAACCACCATCAGCCGCCCCAACATTTTCCTTCCACCCATCCACCCGCCCTTCTTCTCCTTCGCCTCCTCGGAACCCCGCCGGCATCACGAAAGGGGGTTGGGGGAGTTCCACCCATCCACACCCACCACCAGTTCCCGTGTTGCATTCCAACAGGGGTCGGCTTGCCTACCCGCCTACCCCCCTCTAACCCCCCTCTAACCCCCCTCTAACCCCCTCTAC